CCAATTGTGACTTGAAAGGGGGCGATACTCATAATGGTCGCTTTTCTGTGGCTCTTCAACAGATTGGGTCTGCTCGTTGCAGTAGTAAGATTTCTAGCGCTTTGCTGTGCCCCTCTCTCACAAGGCAACTCTGCTGACATGTTGCGGTTGATCCTGTTGGTCCAACCAATCATGGAATGCTGCGATAACCAATCGTCTTGTCGTGTGGGTATGATTGGTTGTGTTCTCCAAGTAGTGCGTTGGCCACTTCACTCTCCGTATTCCGCACCTTCGAGATACGATACCTCCTATTTCTTGAGTTAACTCTGGTGTACAGACACGAAAGGATAATTTTCACCTCAGTGAAGCATCATAGTACTTTTATCAGAACAGAATGGAAACACTCTTCTAGTTATTTGAGACCTATTTCCGGTTACAGAGTGCCACGAAACTCGTAATATTGGTTCTCATTTACGATTATGTCGACGGAATAATTAGTGAGTTCAAATCTAGAGATACTGGAAGCAGTTGTCAGAGATTGAGATGTAGAGAACGTTCGAGGAGCCTTTTTCAGATTTCGTCACAGCAGAGTGTTTGGTCATGTCCTGAAATAGCGTATGCCAATCGTTGCGTAGATGCATGTACGATCTTCCGTTGCGAATCCAATACCTCCGGAGACGGGCCTTGGCCTCTCAGGGCCCACCTCGATAGGTGTAGCCTTGGTAGAGAAGCTGGAGGATCGATTGAAGACATCGTCGATCAAGTCTTTCGCCTCGTCAAATTAAAAAAGCTCAGTCGAGGATAGCTCTTGCTGGACACTGAATCTGAAATCTTTTGGCTTGACTTCCCCAAGCTAGGCGGGTTACGCGAATGAATCTATTGTACTTCAGGGGCTGACTGTATCTCATTGAGAAAGACATACATCTACATGTACAGCAAAAGTGGGCAGTGAGAAGTATATTCTGTCACGCCAAGATCTCAAGGTGTTTCTAGCCGACAGGAAGGTAAAGTTTGTAAAGGTTAATAACAACGATCCCAGGAGTCAGCGGCAAAAAAAACTCAAAAGAAAGCACATGAGAGGGGCTCGAACCAGAGACCCTACTCAATAAGGTAGAGGATGTAAAAAAGTTGTCATGACACCGCATGTACCCATTAGGCTACAGAGGCACCCGACTCGTCACCACACGATATGAGCCACGGACATAGCTGTCTCTATATCTGCTGAGCGCTATGGATAGTAGCTTAAACGAGGGCTTCAATAAGGGGAATTCAAATTCGAGCACGGGTGTTTCTGTTCCTGGCTTTTGACGTTCTCCAGCCAAAAGATATTGCTCTCAACCTTGAAGTCATCCCCTGTCTTATTGATTTCCCATCACGTTGCCCTCTATGTTCTCGCCCTCCATCCAGTGTTATACCGAGACACTTCGCGTGAACAGTTTCTCATGGCCTCGTGCAATTTAGCCCCGCGTTGTCTCGTCCAAGCGGTCCGGTGCTCTAGTGCCGGTCTTTCCATTGCTATATGATACCGCTTGACCGAGCCTCCCCCGTCCTTCTCTGAACTCGCTGCTGTCCTGTTTCCGTTCTCGAACCCTATGCTCCTGCTCTTTGCTTCCCGGCGGCTACTTCGACCATGTCCCCCACCTGCCAGTCTCGGGCCATCCTCCTTCTCGTTCCAACATCGCCACCACACCACACCCTCACCATCCTTCCCCGTCTATCTCTTTCCTTCCGCATGCCTCATCCTTACTTTCCCATCTCTTTCCCAACTGTTCTAGCCCTTCCCACACTTCCCCCGCCGCCTCTCGCATCAATCAGTTTCCTTCTCGCCGTCGTCGAAGACACCGTACGTGGCCTAGTTGGTGCATGGCACTCGCTCGTCACCACACGATGTCGAGAGATCCCGGTTTCGAGCCCCGGCCAAGCTCACCTCAGAGTGGTTTGCGGATTACGTCTTCCCTTGGGTCCACTCAGGCACCTGTATTCGAGCGGCAAACACGTTCGTTCTAACGCCAGTCCCAAGTCTCTCAATACAGCTGATGGTCTGGTCCAGTTTGCATCGGGGTTCAAGGCTTGTATCGCCAAAGGCTCTCGCACGATCGACGCGGCGGCGAGAGAGCCTGTCAAGCCGCAAGAGGTAAATATTGAACTAGGATCACTTTGTAGATTTGACTCCAGTCAGGTTAGCGTGCATGAAGGCAGAACAACGTCTGATTGGTCATATCCTCCAGAAGTATGACATTTTGCAATTGCTTGGCTCATGGGTGAGAAAGTCTGCTCTGGCATTAGGTCCCCCGGGAACGAGAGGTTCATAGACCATCGACGAATTCGAGAATGAGCCTCAGACTAAGTTTGGAAGGTTATCAAGTGTTTTATGAGAGCATGAAAAGTGTTTGTATACATGAAAGTCAGACTTTTGTGTCGGTAATAGAACTATTGGATTTGTTCAGGTCATGTTACTATGTTTGATCATAATCATGAATCTTTCCACATATATAATCACTACCTACTGTGCATTCACTGATACTGTGTATTAATACCGTGTAAACGATATCGAGAACCGCCCGAGCAGCCAGCAAAGGCAGAATACAAAAACAAATACTCAATACTGCTTTCATTCCAAACAGAGGGAAAAGAAGATTTTTTCCTCAAGAAGGGAGGGTCCCTGTGCAGCTTCACAACTCGATAAACCATAAGAATTTCGAACGAATTCATAGAATACCTTCTTAATCGGAGAAAGTATGCGTACTGAAGACTACACGCGAGGAGTCAATATCATTCGTGGATTATGAAACGATAAGATCGTGTACAGGCAGGGGCTCGTGATCGTGTTCTCTTGAATGATCGGCTTATTTGTTGCGCAAAACCAAGGCCTACGAGGATCTATCGGAAAAATGTCCCGCATATCAACTTCGTCACATTCACTCTCGCCTGGTCTCTTTAATCCTTGTGTTCGGTGACCTTTACCCAAAAGTTATCCTGCATGAATAAGTTGTGATTGACGCTATGCCAAGGCTTAGCGGGATCCAAAATCTGGAACTCAAAATTGCGAAGCAACTGAATGTGTAAATGTCAGCATCTCAGCACCTCAGAGTGTCACAGTATTCTCAAACTTGGGGCGGAAAGACAGTGCTTACTTCAACAAACACCTTATTCAATTCCAGAAACGCAACATTCTTTCCCGCACAACCCCATCGTCCATACCCAAACGCGAGTTCAGTTGTCTTCTGCATCTTATCCTTTGTCGCCGCGTCGGCTTCGATCCATCGCTCAGGCCGGAATAGGTCCGCATCTTTACCAAATACGTCGGCGCGACGAAGCGTGCCCCATACGTTCTGGGCGATGCGCGTACCACCCGGAACAAAGTGTCCATCGATAGTGTCTCCTCCGGCGGGCACTTCTTTGGCGCAAAGGCCGGTGAAGGGCGCGCACATCCGGAGACCTTCATAGATAATGGCCTAGCTTTGGTGAGCAAGTCCAGGCTACGATTATCAGGAGCGAGATTTGGGGGGCCTAACCTGAAGGTAGGGTAATGTTTTTCCTTCCTCATAGGTAATTGGGGATGATATCCGGCCTTGGGTGATAGCTGTGCTAATTTCGGTTTTCAGAGTATGATATGCGCGAGGCGATGTGATAAGATGCAGGAAAGTCGTCCGAATTGCTGTTGCGGTTGTGTCTGATCCAGCAATGATCTGGAAGAGAACTTCTGTTTCACACTCGCTCTGGCTGACGCCGTGCCGGATAAAGGCACCCTGGTTGTTCTCAGCTTTGCTCCAGACAGGATAGCTGACAGATAACCTACCAGCATGTCCGGTTCCTCCTTTGCATCTGTACCGAAACGTCGTCCGACAACCTCCTTGGCCACTCTGTTTCGATCAGCATCGCAGCATCATGCTACTCATAGAGGAACCACTACGTACCCCATTAGCTTTCCCAATCCGCTCTTGTCAGTATGTTTCGGGCCGACAGCGCCTAGAACGGGCTTGGAAAACATAAAGCTGGCAAGCCATGGCACCTCACTGCATAGCTGCAGAAGCGGTATAGCCGCCTCCGTGGTGCTGATGTAGTCATGGACATCCGAATCAGTGGCTAGGTACCCAAACTCTTTTCCATACGCAACTCTGGTAATAACATCCAACGTAAAATATTGTGTTGTCTTGCCTAGGTCCATCGGCCTAACCTCGTCGTCGGTAGTAACATACTTCCTCTTGATGAGGTCCACGAAACCAGCGACCTGGGAGTTGATGCCGTCTTCGAGCGCCAGGTTCTCTTTGCCGGCGTATCCAGCTGCGCACTTCGCTTTCAACTTGTCATGTGCGCCGGTGTCGCGCAGACTGAACAAGCTGTCTTCGTGAGGATTCAGCTTTGTGGTATCGTACCAGGATGATCGGCCGTAAGGTGATCGGGCAGCGTTCATGCGACGTAGGATATCCGGGTCGTCAGTGACGAGGTCGTTTGGGCCAATGCGGACTAGGGAACCATGTTTCCTGTTGAGGTTGGTGAAGTGCTCGGCCGGTCGACCGGAGCGGGCGTTTAATATGAGCCATATGTAAGAGAAGCGTCCGATGAGCGGGCCCGGGAAATCGCGGAGACGGCCGTAAGCTATGATAGATGAGACGACATAGTAGATGATGAAAGCGAAGCTGAGATAGAGCGGTGTCGCGCCTGCATCGAGGTATGAGGTGAAATTTGATGGCGTCATATTTCCAGTCGCCAGCTCGTCCTGCAACTTTGTTGCAATACTGAGGGAGGCAAGATTGAGTTGACTTCAAATTCAATTGCAACTACAAGGCTTTTATCCAGTCGTAAGGGTCTCCCATTATATCGTCTAGTATTTCCAATGCCGACAGCGATCATCTTCTACTTTCCGGGTTTGCCCCGTCCAGACATTGACTAGACCCCTTGCCATGCCAACGCGTTGATTGTTGGAACCCCGCCTCTTGTTACATCGCTCGGGATTCTAGAGACGTCTTGAGGATGACAGCGCTGACTTCCATGTCGATAAACCAGGGTTTGCGGATTGGATGGCTTGGTGTACCGGGCCGTTGACACCAAAAGTCCCAAATGCCGATTATGAACCTACCTCAATTCGGATAGTCCATCTGGAAGAGTCGCACTGCCCAGCCTGCGGTATCATTCGATTGCAGACAATCAGTCTATCGATGCCAGGTGATGTCCAATGGCGACCTTCCTTTCGGATCCGGGCAAGATGGGAACGAGAGGTCGGCAATTGGAGAATTCAGACAATTACGCTTGTGATTGGATGTTTTGGGGGGAAACTGGAGGAGAGGCAGCTTTTGTGGGTTCCTCAACCTTGTCTTGTGTAACGTAGGGATCACGGATATGTCGGCGTAAGCGCTTGAGCTTTTATGGTTACAACGAATGTGTCATGATGGATCGCTATCGGACTCTGATAGATTTTGAAATGGGGCAATGGGCAAAGAAGGTGTCTTGGTAAGCTGTTGCTATTCACGGACAAGCGACCATTTGCCAAGGAAAACTCAGACATTGTCGACGACCCATATAGGCCCACAGACACGATCTGGAGGAGTAATAGAGGAAGCGTTATTAGTCGGAGCAGGGACGGGGCATGAGCATAAGGGACACTAGGACAAGGAGAAGGGTAGCAAACATTGCGATGAAGTATGCGATGGTTGAGAAACATTACGAGACAGCAACGACTTCGAGCCAACTTTGCAAAGACTTCCATGATCTGGAATCTAGCCCGAAGATGAAGGACATCTAGCTAAAATGGGATAGCTCGAGAGGCGAAAAGCTGATGCTTGGGAAGAGAACGGGGAGGGTTATCCATATTAAAAACACAGTAGCATACAAATTCCGTCGGAGACTTGACAAAAGGGCCCTCCATATCTTCCTTCATTCGAGTCTCACCGTCCGCAAGGCACGATTGCTCCGCCGAGTGTTGGTGGTTATTAGTACATTATCGTTTACAGTACAGTCGTCTTCAGCGCGGCGACGCCCAAAAGTGATTCCGTGGGTAGAGCCCAAAGTCTTATTGAGGTGCCTTGGTGCGCAACTGAACGCCGTGCCACTGCTTCATCATGTCGCCCAAGACGGCGTTGACCATGCGCTGCTGCTTCAGCATGTTGGCGCCCTTGAATTTGGCCGAGGTGATGTCGATGGCGTACATGGAGCCGCATCCGCCCGAAACGTCTTGAACGATGAGTTCCGAGGGCGTGAACTCGGCAACCAGCTTATCCCATATCGTCGACTCGGCATCGTCCAGATGGTCGGGCTTCTCGAGGGCTGTTGCGGTCTCGGTCGCGGAGGAGTAGGAGCGCTTGGAGATGGATCGGAGATTGAATTGAGGCAGTGGTCGGATCGCCTTGGAAACTTGGACTCTAGGAGCGGATCTCAGGGCGTCGTTTCTTGTTGCGATCGACAGACTTGAGAGGGGAGCCTTTGCGATGATGGTGTTCGTGGGCTTGGGGAGCGCAATTGCGCGACGGCACGCTCTGCAAAGCATTTTGGACTGATTCGGTGATTAACTTGTTGGCTATTTGGGCCGTGGTGTAAGAGGATTTGGCAGCGGCTTCAACTGGGGTCGCTTAAGGCTATCGCGGTCGAATCGAGGTCTCCAAATAATATGCCGTGGATTTGGTGGGAAGCTTCAATTCGGAATTTCTAAGCTCGCAGCTATTGACGTCAACCAGGGATTGGGTGAGCTGCCGGGATTTAGCCGGTGGCTGTGTGCGGTTTACAGTGTGGCTTAGCTCACACGGTACCTGTGTGAGATGAGTGGCTCAGTGACATACAAAGTGAGACTCACACCTCCATCAAGCATACTCACTCACATGCTTCTCATGTGCCACTCACTCGATCTTCACACCTTCCAAGCCAATAAGCAACCTGGTTCACTTCGTGCGTAAGGTGAGAAAAGCAATATCTCCTAGTCATTTCATTAAAGTCGCAAAACAGCTAACATGGATCACAGGGACTGGAGATTTTAAGGGGCTAATGCGACAACACCTTCAACCACCAAGGGCTACATCATCACTCTCAGCTCTCCTGCTTCACATGCAGATGTCCCCGCTAAGATAGGCCGCTCTAGACGGTGGGAAAATTATTTCTGCATCTCCAATCTGCCAGCCATGGCGCGTCTCTCACCTACTTCCGCCGAGTTACCCCGGCAAATTCTCCCAGCTCGAGATCACCCAGTCCGTCTTACCCCAGGGCCCAGGGCCATCAATAGCGTCTCCCCGCATCTCCCCGCATTCTTCTCCAATGATTTACCCCAGGCCGTAAAAGTTGCTTAGTCCGACACTAGAAATTAGAGGCGACGAGGTTCTCTTGCGGTTTTTGTCAAATTCCTCCAATCAGGCGTGTTAAGGTCCGGCCGGCAACACTTTCCCAGCGGTCTGGCAATGGACGCGATGAACGCGATGAACGCATCAGCGGAAGACAGCGAGCTTCGATGCTACGCTAGAAGGCGTATAAAACGTGGTACATAGAGGAAAGGAGACGCTCAGGGAAAATGAGAGGGACTGAGTAGCAGAGAAGAGCAGCAGCTTGATCCTCCTTCTTGTTTCCATGGCTCGGTTGTCCTTTTTGTTTTCCGCGGCTGCGGCTTGCTTCCTCCAGGCCGTGGCAGCTCAAGAACCTACAGCCCAGGTCCTCAATGGCACTTACCAAGGCCGTCATTTGTCTGAGTGGGACCAAGACGCCTTTCTCGGTGTCCCTTTTGCGCAGCCTCCGGTTGGCCAGTTGCGGTACAAGTGGCCACAAAGCCTCAACACTTCCTTCGAAGGCACGAGAGATGCCACAGAACAGGGCTACAGCTGTATGCAGTTCAGAGGGACCTTCAACATGTCCGAGGACTGCTTGACCCTCAATGTTGTCCGTCCAGCTGGAAAGCCTGAGAAGCCGCTCCCGGTTCTCGTATGGATCTTTGGTGGTGGCCTATACACTGGCTCAATTGTAAGAAATTGTCAATTTTGGAGCATCGTGTGTCGAGACTGACTTGAATGTGACATAGGCCGATCCTCAATATAACCTCTCGGGCATTGTCAAAGTCAGTCAGGACATGGGTCAGCCCATTATTAGCGTAGCCATGAACTACCGTCTCAACATGTACGGCTTCCTACAAACACCTCAAATCCTCGCCGAAGGATCCAGTAACGCGGGTCTGCTGGATCAAAGGTTGGCGCTCCGGTGGATCCAGGAGAACATCGCGGCCTTTGGTGGAGACCCGGACCGGGTGACGATCTGGGGCGAGAGTGCCGGGGCCCAGAGCATCGCCTACCACATGTTTAGCTACGATGGCCGGGACGACGGTCTCTACCGCGCCGCAATCCTCGAGAGCGGCGGGCCGACGGGGGCCCAGGTACAGGACCTTGCCTACTACAACGCTCCCGTCGAGAATCTGACGCGCAGTGTCGGCTGTTGGACCGCCAAAGACCAGTTGGCTTGCCTTCGTGGCCTAAGCCAGACGCAACTCTTTGCAGGAAACCCCAGTCAAGTGTGGAACCCGATGATTGATGGCGACTTCCTGACGGGCTACCCGAGTCAACTGATCCGCGAGGGCAAGTTTGTCAAGGTGCCTCTTTTGACGGGCGCCAACAGCGACGAGGGAATCAACTTCAACCCCAACAGCCCCAAGCCAAATACCGAGACTGACCTGTTCAACGGCTTCACTTGGTGGCGCTCTTACGCCCTCTCCCCACCGACGATCAGAAAGCTCTTTGAGCTGTATCCCAACGACCCCTGCACCCAACCGCCGCTCTCCATCACGAACTGTTCCGTGTACCCGGAATATGGCCTGCAGTGGCGGCGGGGTGCCTCCATCGGCGGCGACTTAGTCATGATCTCGGGCCGCCGGAAGATGTGTGAGCTCTACGCCGTCTCTCAGCCCGTGTACAGCTACCGCTTCGACCAGCTGCTTTGGAACCGCAAGCAGATTGAGGGTGTGCGACACTTTGACAACGTCGCGTACAGCTTCCAGAACATTTCTGGCCTGCTCGGGCCGTCGCCGCAGTATGACAGCCACGTTCGCTTCGCCCGCGCCATCGGGGAGGCCTATGTGCGCTTCGTTTACGACACGGATCCAAACCCGAAGGTTGGCAGTAATGGGACTTTCACGAATGGCACGTCGCTGTTGCCGTATTGGCCCAAGTATGACTTGAGTGCCCCCAAGAACTTGGTGCTGAACGCATCCAAGAGCTATGTGGAGGATGATACCTGGAGGAAGGAGGGCATCGACTTCATCAACACCTACGAGGTTGCAAGGGAACTTCTTGCATGAAAAATTGACCTGTAGTTGGGAACTCGGGTTTCTGAGAGCGGGTCTGATATCTAGCATCGGGCAACAGATGGGTAATCGGCATTGTCCGGCGTACACAGTACATAGATGATACAACAATAAGCAATGTTAGTCAATCATGGTGTGCTACGGATACTTATCCCGCCCACATGTTCTTTTCGTACTAGTGGAGACTGCCTCGATCCTCCGCGCTCGCCGCAAGGCCAAGGAGGGGAAGCAAGGCGACTCTTGTCATGGAGCCCGGTCACCGCCCAGCCGCCCGTTGACCCTCCCCCCTATCTTCCCGGGACGGACTGCGACGGTCGCATTTAACGATCTGTAAGGTACGACCCATCGCGTCCGAATGGTCGGGATGCTGATCTTGAGGCAGCATTGGCGTGCCTCTGAAGACTTGGCCGAGTTGGGCATCTGCGTTGGCCAAGAATCTTGATCCCCTCTCACGCAGGTGAAGAAGACTAGACTTGATACTGTTTGGTCGACTAGCGCCTGCATCTGAGTAGCTACCTCGTAGAGACTTCATGAAAGTCGGACAGTATCAACATCTGCAGTGTATCGCGATACGATAATGGTCGATTGTTTAGCTATAAAACTCGCTTCTGAGTTGAGCAGGGCAAGACTAGCATCATGCTTCGGTCAATGAGAAATCAGAGTTGTTTCGGCGAAGGACGCTGTGGATATTTCCTGTCTACTGTGAGCTCCGCTCGAATACAGAGCATACAACTCTGTTTAGTCACAATATTGAATACGGAAGTTATTTGACCTTGTGCTGATAAGAATATCTTCAATTCTTCCCAAGAACACAAAACACATTGTCTGCTGCATGCCGATGCATGTTGTTGAATCAACCATGAACAAAGTTTGGCGCCATAGTAAGGTTAAATGCATTTGTGTTTGCCAAAGTTCTATTTACATTGAAGACCCCTACAGCGGTGCAGTCCGCCTAGAATATGTGCATCCAGGTCCTCCCTAGCAGCAAGAAGTCAGGAATCATTTATCCGCAAATTTTAGGTTCAAGCAAGCGGGGATCATTGTTTGATGAGCCTCTCC